CGATGTGCCTCTTGGTGATTAACTTTTCACCCTTTTATGAGCTGGGGGGAGTACCTCGGTTCTTTATGTCAGGTATTACACGTTCCTGGTGGACCAGTTTCCCTGGTCTTGCACCCAGCTCTTCAACTGCAGGTGTCTGCACACACACACAGAGCAAATGTCTGCAGCACTGGGATAATGGGTAGCAATTCCTCACACCAATCCTCAAGGTAATGGATTGAAGAGTCTTATCACAGTGCTATCCCACTCATCCCTCAGGCAATGCGTGGTGGAGTCCCAGTTCAGCTCCTTACACCCTTCTCCCAGGCAATGGTTATTGCAGTCTTTTCTCAACTCCTCCCATCCATCTCTGAAACAATAGAAAGGTGGAATTCCGTCTCAGCTTCTCAGACCAATCTTTGAGACAATGGACAGTGGAGTCTGATTTCAGATCCTCTCACAGCAGTACACAGATTAACAACTGCCATCATCCTCCCCAAAAGAGGTCTTTATAGTGAGGTTCTGCAGGATCAGTATCAGGTCCAGATGTGTTACCTGTCTCAGCAATCTGGCAATAAGTACAAAGTCACCGCAGATAAAATGTGTAATGACAAACATTGGAAGAATGGAAAATAACAGTGGGGTTAAGATGGTTGTACAGAGCAATTTCAGATTCCAGTCACAAGAAAATGCATCACCTTTTTCATACAGCCAAATTGCAAGGTGAGAAAACTTGGACCAAGGGCTGCAGGGGCACCTACAGAAGAGTATCTGTCTCCAGGCATCCACCAACTCTGAACAGTGATCAAGCAGTCCAACATGAATTCCCAGGATGATGCTGAGACATGAAGGACTAATACAGCCTGTGGATGTTAGGAATGTTAATGGCCTAGGCTGTATGAAGGCTAGACACAATGATATCATTACCCTTCCTGCCTTCAGTGCCATGAATGGCATCTATAACAGCACGGTTTACTTCCACAACTGAAATGTGCAATTGTTGCTGAAGCCTTGCTTCTGCATGCATATTAACGCAATTCAGTGTGCTGGATATCATTTCTACACAGTATCTTTACAAGTTTCACCCCAAGTCCAAATACAGCTGCAATCCCTGGTACAGCTAAGGCTAGCATCAATTAAGACAACTCCATTTTGCATCCAAGATTTTCAGGTGTTCCACTATAACTAAAGAGAATTCTTTATTCCCTGAAAACTCAACTCAAACCTGAAGTCAAGCTTGGTTTCTTCTTGTGGAACTTTTTCCTTACAGAGTTCAAACTGCATTACATTGTCTCTCTGAGGCTACTGGAGTATGTTTTGGAGAAAGGCAGTGCTGTTGATACAGGTGTCATGGGTCAAGGCTATAAGGACAGTTTGCAGAGAAGAGCAGAACTTTTATCAAAGTGAGGTACTTTTTTGGGGAAAAAAAAGGGCACAAAAAGGTTTAAAACCTCAGACTAAATTGGGAAAACCTGTTCTGAACTCCAGCTCAGTTCAACTAATTGTCCAATGAGAACAAGGGGCAAGAATTGGAAGTGTGGAAAGTAGAAGAGAGCATTAGCAAGAAGAGGGAAGATATACTGCAGCCTGAGCCTGTGAAGAATAGATGGTTTTCATTTCTTGTCTGTAGCACAGAAGTAGAGCAGATTTCTGAACCAGGAACAGGGTGATATTCTTAACACAAGCAGTTTCTCCTGACTCCCAAATGTGACTAGCAAGTAGAAAGCCAAAGCGCCAGGATGGTGGGTTTCAGGCTGTGGTACACGGACTACAGGCTATTTAAGAAATCCGCAGTATGTGACTGGGAAAAGCAGTCCTGAAATAAGTTAAATATACAGTGGGATTTGCACTTGCACTCGATTATTCTTTGCTAGTTAGAAAACTAAAAAGGTCACAAATAATTGTAACAGCAGAGCAAGTCCTGACACAGGTAGTAGGTAGAATTCACCTGCTAGGCCTGGTCAGACCTTCACTGTGTTCAGTGCAGCGTCTCCTCTCCAAGGCTAATGTACCTGTATACTAATGTATCTGGAGCAAGAGTCTGTATCCCTGAGCTTCCATTAGTTTATTCCTTTGGTTCTCCACTGGAAGCTTTGGCAGTGAAAGGCACCATTTTCTCATTTATATTTACTTCATATACAGCAAAGAGGAGTCTACAGTGCTTTTGCCCTGGGATCCCTGTTTAATTTTCTCCTAGTCCAAATGTTCCTGCACTGGATTCTGTGTGATATTCAGAGACACACTCCAGCTGGCACCACACCATCTGACTACAGGATCTCAAGAGCTCTCAGCCTTTGTTGTTGCATGCTGCACATCAAATATCCATCTTGCTTAGCAAAGGATTGCCAAGTCATGATGAAAGAATGCTAATAATACTGATTAAATCCACGGATTATGGAGCTGCAGACATGTTTGTTACAAAGCTTGTGAAACTTTGTTTAGAGCTACAATTAATTCCCCCCCAATAGTAATAAAACAAAATATCAACAGATGCCTCAAGAAAATCAACGCTACCTTATGTGCTGTTTGGTCTAAATTTCAACTGAGCTCTAAAGATCCTCTATCTTACTGGAGAAAGATGGGACTAGAGAGGTCTTGCTGCTCCCAGCAGTAGGAACTGCTGTAGCTCCTGCCCATGCACATAATAAATCAAGGTTAGTCCAGGCCACAGGCTGCTCAAATTTGTCTAAGCAGAGAAGGCAGAAGCATGAACACTGATTAACTTTCAGATATTGCTTAGTGTAAAATGAGATTTGATGACCTCTCTACTTATGTGGGGAGTTTCGGGTCAAGGGACAGAGGATGAACAAACAGTAGCAAAGGAATGTAAGACCATGGAAAAGGTCAAAAACCATGGGATTAATCACTGAAGGCATCGGGGATACAGTCTGCTATCTGGGGGCTGCATTGCCTTCACCAACCCTGCCTGCTCAGCAGGACACCAACTTCCACATAGGTTGAGCGAGCTCTGCCTTAAAATGCCAGGCCTTGTGAAGAAAGGTGCCAGAAGGGCACAACTGATACATTTTGGGCAAATGCACAGTGGAAGAAATGCACAACAGGAAAAAGTCTAAAGGGGAAAAGTTGTTTCTGGTTTTTTTTTTTTTTCTTGGCTCATAACCTGAAACTCATCTTCTTGGGGAGAGAAGCAACCTTTCTTGCCATCTGTCCTATCAACATTCAGTTTAGGTTGCCAGTAGCTGCACCAAGTGCTCTGACATACTGCTGTGCCATCCCTTTTCTATTCTGCCTTAGTCCCCAGAACACTCTCCTTGACCTCTTCCTCCTGTGGCGCAGCTATCTTTTATCCTGGGATTCCTCCACATCAGTGAGGTGTCCCCTGTGTCCAGCCTGGCAATAGAGTGTAACACTTGAATTAGTATAAGCACGGATCTGGTTCTGATTTCCTGACCACTCAGCCATAGGTCTCAGCAACTGTGGAGAAAGGATGTGAAGGATCCTTTTGATTCTCTAGCCATGTGGATCTTTGGGGATATAACAGAATCACAGAATGGTTTGTGTTGGAAGGGACCTTAAAGCTCATCCAGTTCCAACCCTCTGCCATGGGCTAGGACACCTTCCACTAGAGCAGGTTGCTCCAAGCCCTGTCCACCCTGGCCTTGAACACTGCCAGGGATGGGGCAGATACAGCTTCTCTTGGGTACCCTGTGCCAGCACCTCAGCACCCTCACAGGGAAGAATTTCTGCCTAAGAGCTCATCTCAATTTCTCCTCTGTCAGGTTAAAGCCATTCCCCTTGTCCTATCCCTGCAGGCCCTTGTTCAAAGTCCATCTCCAGGTTTCCTGTAGCCCCTTTAGGCACTGGAACTGCTCTAACGACTCCCCTTAAGAAGCCTTCTTGTCTCCAGGTTGAACCAGCCCAGCTCTCTAAGCCTGGCTCCAGAGCAGAGCTGCTCCAGCCCTCACAGCATCCTCCTGGCCTCCTCTGAACTTGCTCATCAGGGATGAAGCCCCGTAGCAATAACTCGAGAAAATACAAGGGAGCTTTGGAAGGCCCATAACCTGCGCTGGCTCAGACTGAGGCAGAAGCACCAAATGCAATGATCATGAGCAGGCAACCTGAACCGGCTGTTATCTGTGACATAAACCACTCACAGTCACTCCTGCCAAAACCCTGTGAGGCATTAGATAAAAGCCACCTTATAACAACAAATAAAACCTAAAATAAACCCCCAAAACCTCCATGTCTGAAACGCTCCTTCAGCCAGCGAGAGAGGAACCGAGCCGTAGCAGTGAATATCCACCCTGCCCGGCACAGGCCGCGCGCGGAGCGGCGGGTTTGGAGCCTCTGCCTGCCCCACGGCCCTACAGAGCGCTGAGGCGGGGCCTCCCGTCTCCACACTGCTCCTTCCCCACCAGCTCGTCAATCCTCCGCTGAGGGAAGACCCGAGAGCGGGCGCAACCCGGCCCCAGAACGGGCTCACCCCGCTCCGGCCCCTCACGGTAACAGCTCCCCTCAGCGCGGCGGCGGTGGGCGGGGCCAACCCCCGCACCCCCCAACCCCGCTCCTTCCGCCGCGCTCAACGCCGGTCACGTGGCGGGGGGAGGGCAGGGTCCGGCTTCATTCCCGCCCTGCTCACGTGGTGCGGGGCAGGCGGAAGGGCCGGTGGATGGGCGCGCGCCGAGCGGTGCGTGCGGGGTGAGCCGCGCGGGAAAAGCGGCGGGAAGGGAGCGGAGGGGGGGAACGCGTCACGTCACGTCACGTCACGTCGCGTCGCGTCACGTGGAGGTGGGGGGGGGGGGGGAAGCGGCCTCGCGCGCGCGTGGAGGAGGAGAGGGAGGAGAAGGGGGGAGCGAGGCTCTGGTCACGTGACGGTGGTGGGCGCCGCTGCCGCTTTGTGAGCGCATTGGGCAGGTACCGCGCGCTGCGACCCCCACCCCCACCCCCCCGTTCCGTTTCCCGCACTCACGCGAGGCGGCGGGGAGTGGGCGAGGGGGTGGGTGCGGGTGCGCGCGCGGTGTGTGGTGGGGGGTCCGCGCTCGCGGGAGGGTTCCCCCTGCCCTACGGCCCGCGGGCGGCCGTTGGTCCCTGAGGCGGGGGCGGCGGGCCCGGTCCCCGCTCCGATGCGAGCTTTTGTCCCGGGCAGCGGGTATCCGCCAGGGCCGCCCCTGCCCGGCTGCGGAGGGGTTTGAAGTCCGGGGGGGCGGGGGGGGGGGGGGTGGGTGGTGGCTCTGCCCTACTTTTCCAGGCGGGCACCCTGCCCTAGATTGCCGCCCCCCCTCTCCTCTCCTCTCCTCTGCCCTCCTCAAGGCCGCCGAGTAGGCCGCGGTTGTGGCAGCTCCCGGCCGGGCTCCCGTGAGGAGGGGGAGCCCGCCCGCCCCCCCCCGGTAGGTGCGGGGACAGGTAGGTTTGCTTTGCTCCTTCCTCCCGTTCTTTGGAGGGGGTCCTGCACCCGGTCCTCCTTGTTTCTTATTTTGTTACAGCTCTGCTTTCTCTCCTGAGGGGTTAGTGCTTATCCTGGCTCTGTGGGCTGGGAGGGTTTGATGGAAAGGGGATGCAGCTGGACCCGCCGGTGTGGAGGGGGGTGTGTGCCTTTGGGCCCCTTCCTAATCTCGGGTCAGGCCAAAGGAGGGCTGGCAGCACGGGGAAGGAGCAAGTGAGTGAATAACTACACGTTTGTGCCTTATGTGGGGCTTTATTTCCATGTTGTCTTTCCTCATCTCCTTCCGTTGCTTTTGGGGTGGGGGTTTGGGCAGCCGTGTCACGGTTACAGAATTCCCTGACCATAACATCTAGGCAGCAACAGTAGGTTACTAGAGGGCATGACAATGAGTGAGCCATTCTCTCTGTTGACCTTCCCTACCTAGTCCTTTCTCACCGCTGATTATGTGTGCTTGCTGAGAACTGGAAGTCTGGGTAGGGCTTTGCTATTGGGCTGTCTTAGGTGATGTTTAAAAACAAGAAAGAAAGCTCTTCTGTGTTTGCTGTTGTTGCTGAATACGGGCAGGAAAGTGAGCTGGTAGAAACCTTTCTGCAAGAAACTGGGTGTAGAAAGGCACCAGGTGCACCTTTGAGCCTGATGGCAGAGATCTGAACTCTGCGATGTGAAGTAGAGTTATAAATCTGTGCTGAAATGTCTGTAGTGCTGTTGAATGCCACCCGGGAGTTGCTCAGGGTGAACCTGGTTTGAAGCTTCTCTCTTGTAGGTGTGTTGTCATCAGGAGCATGGGTGTGCAGAGCCCTCTTGGCTGTTGTCAAAGGAACAGGCAGTCCTGTGGAACAGAAACTTTGGATTTGGTGTGGAGCTGTGTGTAAGGGGGAAGCTCACTTTAGCTACCAAGCAGCAATTGGTCCTTAGTCATCTCAGTTAGAGTAAATGCTGAATGCCTATGGTAGAGCAGCCCATCAAGGCGATATCCACTGTGGCCGTGGTGGCTGCTGAAATGGAGGGGCCCTCCTGGCCTGAGAGCAGCTGTTTTTTTCAAGGAGAGAAATTGGAGCTGGTTGTGTGTGAAGGGAGGGGGAGGATGTGCAGGCCTGGAGCAGCAGCGCTTGCTTGCCGTTGAAGTGGAGCCCTTACCGACAAATGGCAACAACTCAGCCTTCTTAGGCTTTGCTTTTTTAATATTTACAAGGCCCTTTTTGCAGTTCCCTCGGTTGTGTCACCTTCTCTAGTGGAATCTGGGTTTGAATTCCTACCTGTCTGAGTCAGTATTTATACCTAGGCCCAATCTCTCTGTGGTGGTTTGACCTAACTTGTTTAAAGAATTTATTTTTAACCTTACACTAGGTAACTTGAAAGCAAGCAAGGCTAAATCACTATGCAGCGTTAATGATGTTTTGGGACTCCTGGAGGGGTTACATGGAGAAACTGGATTAACTGGTGTAAACCAATTTTGATGCAGAGTCTGAAAAGTGAGCCAGCTTTTTGTGTTTATAACCTCAACTTTTTTTTTTGTTTGTTTGTTTATGTATCTTTTAAGTCTTGGTAACTTAAAGGAGGTGGGGAAGAGCAGGAATTGGGCAGGCTGTATTCTGTTCTGTTCTAGTTGCAGTTTTACCAATGTATTGATTTAAAAGCATTTATAATAATAAAAACAGAGGCATAGCACTTCAGAAATCTAGGCCATTTCACTTGTGTTGTTTTGGCAAGTCCTCAAGAAAATTCCTGGTGCCACGACTTGCAAAAGGATTTGACCATTTGAGGGGGACTTTGGAGTTACAAACTTGCTGCTAAAATCTCCAGAAGCTAAGGGAAGACCCAACCAAAAAAATCTTGTCTGTTGCCAGAAGCTGTTTATTTATTTATGTTTTCTTTTGGTTCTTCCAGTTTTTAAGCAACTGTTTCAGAACTCAGAAGCAGTTTTTTAATGTTTAAGATTTCTTCCATGGATTTTTATTTCATGGGATGCTTTCCTCATAGAATGCCATTTTCTGGTATGTTTTATGTTTATTGCTGGTGTTCCCCTAGTGATGCTGATCATAGTACTATAGTGTGCTGGTTAGTAGTGCTTGAGAAATCTGTGTATCATAGACTATTAATACTTTGCTAATAATTAGTATTGCTAGTATTACTATTAATAGTAATGCTTACTTGCAGTTTCAGTAATGTTTAGTACCAGGACTTGGAATAGGTTCTTCATGAAAGAATACAACTTTCTGTTTTTTATTAATCTTGTTTATTCATCTTTGTCTCTTACTTGGTTAAAGCACATGAGCAGGACTCTGAAAGACCTATGCTCTGAGCTTAGGCTTGCAACAGCCTCGTATGACCTTGGTAAAAGAGAGGCCAAGTGACTTGTCCCTTTTACGAGATGACAGATTCGTGACACGCAATGTTGTATTTGTGTATTTCATAACTACTTAATGGAAGGTGTAAAGGAAATACAAGTAATATCCACTTACATGTTGTTGTTCTGTTGGAGCCTTTCATTGATTTTATTTCAGATACAGTCTGCTCACTTGTAGCCCATTGTGTCCTCTTTGGTTTTCAGAGAAGACCTAGTTTGGACTTGTACTGTTTTTCATACAACTTCTTTAAACAAGATACTTTCATTAAAGCGAGAGCCAGGATGAAAGGTTGTCAAGTAGCTCCTTTACAATTACTTAAGGTTTGTGTTTTGCAAAAATCATACAAAGGGTTTCTCCATTTTGCTCTAACATGGAAGTCCACACTCTTTAATTTTGGCTGTCTAACCTGGTGGTTTGTTGGAACTCCTGGTCCACCAGGAGCTCCTGCAGTCTGTTTCACAGCTGTGGTACTCTGCATCCCTTCCCCCAAACCCCCTGCTTCTCAGTGCTGCAGAGACCAAACACTGACTAAAGGCAGATAGATAAGAGGTGATACTGTCTGATGCCTAAGATCTCATGGGTTGCTTGTCTTGCTTTTACTGCATCATAACTATTTTGCTGAGCATACTGTTTTATTTATGCTCTGTCTAGATGGTAAAACTTGTAAGATAGGTTCTGTGAACAACTTTGCACAGTTCTGTTGCATGGAGTTGTTTCTACCTCTTGAAATCCCTATTTTTTTTTTTGTCCAGCTGTCTTTGTGAAAGCTGCAAGATACTGGGGTTTCTTTTAAAGGTAAACTTGTCAAGCTTTTTTCCTCTCCCTCCTCCCCAGCTTCTTAAATCAGTCTTCCAGCAGATGAGCTTGGAGGAGTCCTTAACCTGGCTCAGCGTAGCATTTGCATTAAGAACAATGAAATGTTTCCCATGTTGAGAGAGCTTTGATCTGTCTTGAGACTGAAGGTTTGCCTGAAGTAGTACTCATATTTTGAACTTTATAGTTTTGATTTTTTTTTTAACTTTATCAAGCAGGCAACAGAGTTTATTCCAGATCTGCAGAAGATGCAGCAGCATTTATGTTACAGAATCATGTAGTATTTGAATCCAAAGTTAAATGAAGAAAATGGAAATACTTCCTTAACCTCCAGATTTGAATCATCAGGTTGCACTTCTGTTAACCTGGTTTAATGGGGAAATAAAAAAGTCTGTCTTAATATATTAGGCAGCCCTGTGGTTGAAGATGTAACATTTGAATTCAGTAGCTGTGATCATATTCCTAAACGTGTTTAATGGTTAGATGTAGAAGAGGAAGTATTTTTGCAGTTTTACTGTGTGTGGCATAGGTTTCATCTAGAACATTTAGTCGTAAGAAATACAGCTCTTGTTCCTCGAAGTAGGACCATACTGAGACGGGTTTTTAGCAAAGAAAGTGAATTCTTTTCTTACTGTCTTTGTTTTGTTATGTGTTTCGAGAATGGTAGATACAGTAATACAGAATGAAGCATATGGCTTCTGAAAACTTTGTTTTCTCTTTCTGTTTGCTTTTAAATGCTAACTGAATAATTTTTTTTCTATGGTAAACACTTCACCTCTATCTCATACTATCACATTGTCCTTGTCCTGTTTCACTGCGTTTGAAGGCTGTTGCTGATTTCTTTTCTTTTCTTTTTTTTTTCTTTCCGTGTTTACATTCTTTGAACTTGCATGTTGTCTTAGACTTAGATGCAGTTTCAACAACATGAATCTGAAAGGAATCCTGGTGGCAGGCTCCAACTACTAAGTTGTGTTCAAGAAATTCTGGTCCTTGCTTTTCATGGGTTGTACCCCAAGGGACATATGTTTTCTCTTAGTAGGATTTTATTTCATCTTTCACACAATCTTCAGACCAGTGACTTGTGATCCATTTTGAGACCAACATAAGGGGGACCTAAGTTGCTTGATGTTAACTTTGGGTGACTAAATGTGATGAGGGCCTGCAGTACTTCACTTCTCAGTCTTGTGCTTCACTTTCATTTATTAGCCAATGAATGAATTTGAGTGTTTTGAGCATCGGGTAAGTGCTAAGGGGTAGCTGTCTGAAATTCAGTTTAGACAAAGATTGAAATAGTGTTATAAGCTTGGCAAAGGCACTTTAATGAGTGTGCAAAAGTGGTGTGAGTTTTTTTGTTTTGTTTTTTTTTTTTTCTTCAGAGTTTGCAAAAACCTTCTAATACATGTTCTGTGCTGCTGTTTGATGTCCAGGTAGCAGCCATGCCCAGGAGCTTTTCTTTGCATCTTGAGAAAAGATATTTATTATCTTTCTTGAATAGTTCTCTATTACCACTGCAAGTATGAAGCATCTTGCAGCTTTATGCCTGTA